GGGGCCGGAAGCGGGGGAGGTGGCCCAAGTGAGTGGACTGGGTTTGCCGCCGGTAACTCTTGGGAAGTGGACCCTAAAGCCTACGGCCGGGGTGGCTCGAGGGGCTTTCATGGGCGACGTCTTTTTTTTCTGGGTCTCCCGATCCCCAGGCATCTGGTTGGATGGGGACCCACACCGTCCTGGCCTGGGCCCCGGGCTGCGGAGAAACTCCGAGGTCCCAGGGCGCGCACCTTCCCCGGGACCCATCCCGCGAGCGCGCACAGGCCGCAGACTCGCAGGATCACGCGTGGCAGGGTCACCTTCCCGCGGGCGCCGTTCCCTGGGTGATGCATAGGTTTGTGGGCTCCTGTCTACCTGGGCGGGGGAGGGCAGCGAGGGGACCGAGTGACATCACACTGCTCCTGGGGGCGACCTGGGCACGCAGGCCGAGCCGGTTTTGTTTGTTTGGTGTGTGTTTTTTTGGTGTGTTTTTTTTCAGAGGAGGAGGAGGAGGGGTGAGGGAATGCCACGGATCTGGCAAAATGGGGCCGCCCTGATTCAGCAGTATTTCAACTTTCGGGATGGGGAGCCAGCCTGGAACTTCCAGGCGCACTTGCCTCCCTGGCAGGACTCACCCAGCAGGGCGGGCGGAGTGGAGGAGCGCCCCACGACCCGGGTGACCGAGGCCTGCCCTGCCCCCGGGGGCAGCCAGAGCTGCTGGGCTGGTCTAGATGAATGAAGGCTGGGTTTCCCCCGCAGCCGAGCCAGGCACATACACCTGCGGGGAGGTGCGCCTGGAATGTATCTTAGAGAACGCTCAGTGCATCTGGCCTTTTGTGTTTTGTTATTTGTTTTTAAAATATGTTTTTATGGCTTTCAGAGAGAGGAAGGGAGGGGGAGAGAGGGAGATAAAAACATCGATGATGAGAGAGAAGCATTGATGGGCGGCCCCTCCTCCCAGTGGGGATCCAGCCCACCACCCAGGGCATGTGCCCTAACGGGAAATCCAACCGTGACCTCCTGGATCCTAAGTCCATGCTCAACCACTGAGCCACACTGGCCGGGCACAGTCTGATCTTTTGAACAATCATCCTGACTTGCACAAGGTCACACACTTCCCAGCGGCCAGTGTGGCCCCCCTGCCAGGAGTCCTTTGCACCCCATCCCCTCTCCTTGGCAGGTGAATCTACTTTGTTACTTCAACTCTGCCTTCACCCCACCCCCACCCTTCCCACCTGCCAGGGTTTGTTTGTTTTGAAATCCCTGGGCTACATCCAGCATTTGGGTAATTATTGGGGAATAACTGCTCGTACGCTGTCGGCTAGGATTCTGTAAGACAAGGATTCAGAAGTCTGGGGCGAAT